ATAAGAGAGCATTCAATGACCCCTGGCCTGTTGTATGAGTGCCATGTATGGCATCTGACCTCTAACCTAGCGTTGGTCCAAGATATCCCAAGACTGAACACAGCCATTACAGTATACTGTAAAAACCTCAGGTTGAACTGGAGGAACCCTCTGGAGAACTTCTGACAACTTTTGAAGCTGTCAAATATCCTATTGTGTGCTCAAGAAACTTCACTATGTAAATCAAGTACCTCAAATTATTTCCCTTATGACAGGGTTCCTGGAGTCTTGGCAGTCTTTAAACTTCTTGCAGGAACTTCCATCTTGTAAATTCCTCAGAAAACCACAATTTTGAGAGGGCACCTAGAAGGTTTTGAACATATCAATACATCCAATAGAAGATTAAATGAATATTCAATAATTCAATAATGGACTAGACAGAACCTAGGATTAACCGTTTTAACCAAACAAAAGCATCCTTTTTCAACTGTTACAAACTGAGAAGTTGTTACAAAGACGAGAGACGAGATCAAAATTAGAAAATTGTAAAGCTAAACCCAGAAACAAGGCCTAAAAAATCAATAAAATCACCTTAGATTCTTTGATGCATATAGAGCTCTTATGTAACATTAACATCGAACCGAAACGTCCCTTTAGATTCGTACTCGCCTCCCACAGTGATCCAGGACATCTGGCCTTGTTGCTAGGAAACAGAGGTCCGAGCAACCACTCAGGTGGACATAATCAGTTTAAAAATAATTTAAAGTCCCAAACACCAGCAGAACACTTTAAAACACAGATCCTACAAGATCACAATGTTTCTTCAATTGTTGAATTAAATTGGGCTCAGTAAGATTTTTTAAATAAATGTAATACTTTAATTTTGTAAGGACGCATTAATCAAAAGTGACAGTAAAGACATTTATAATGTTACAAATTATAAATTCTTTGAACTTTCTATTTATCAAAGTTCATTCTATTCTACATTGATTAATAATCAGAAATGTTTCTTGAGCATCAAATCAGTCTATGATGCAAAAAAAATTATCTGTCTATTTATCTATCTATCTGCTCGAAAAAGACATTTATGCTTGCTTAGGAATTCTTGTTGAAGTAAGTGTGCTTTAAGATTTAAAAAGGGAACTTTTTTGGTTTAGACGCAATTTCTACTATTACACCTCAAGCTACGCTTTAACACAACCAAAACAATAATTATCCTCAAGCGCGTGCGCGAGCAACTCAAACGACGAAAAGATATGTGGTTTTCATGCATGTTTGCCAATTACACAAGATGGTCGAAGTCACAGTAACCTATTTATGTGCACAATCTCACATACAAAGTCAGTCTTTGTAGGTGCCACTGTAAAGTCTGGCTATCCAGCCCAGCCAGATGATGAAAGATTTTGGAGCATTCAGTAGAGTGGGGATGCTTTGTGTAAGACACAAAACCTTGTTAGGGTGTGTTGACATTACGTGGGGCCTATGACGGGGACGGGCGGCTCCTTCATTATTCATGATCCACCTTGCTGATGCTATTTATACCAGCGTTTTGACTCATCACGCTCCAGTGATTCTGTCTGCTTCTGGAAATGTGTCCATGTGAGGACCATGATTGTACTTCCTCAATGCATTTTAAGGCCTTTGTGCTGCTGCACCTGTAATAAGAGAGGGCAGAAAAACATATTACTCACAATAAATTACATCAGAAATAATTTATCACATAATTCCCCTATTTTTATTCCTGTTTGGGCAGACTGCATTGGCATAGCCGGCATACAAGCATAAAGTAGGAAATGTACATATTGTAAAATAAGCACAATAAAGAGAAAAAGCCAAATTTGTACATTTTAACATCAAAACACTTGTATTTTGGGTGCAAATTTGGTTGGTATTTGAACTGTGAAACTCATCTGTGGGTCTTTGCAGGTCTTGGTTCTCTGGGGAATCTCATTTTCTCTGGAGAGGAAACTGGAAATGCCAAGTTTCTTCACATGGGAGGCTGCCCCATTAAAAGAGAAAGAGGTTTTGGAGCATGTAATTTCAGCAGCAGTCCGCTGGCCATCTGCGAAAGCTGGCCTATACCAGGCGCAGCTGTTTAATAGCAGTTTCAAATATAGAGTCAGATGTCAAGGGCGAGACCACCCATTTTAAAATCCTTATTCATAGAACAACAATGCCTCCCAACTCTAATGCTGATGATACACGGGGCAACTTTTTGAGCAATGTTGCCGTCAACGGGCAACCAGACGAGACACAGGGCCCACGACCGATCTAAAGTATCCAGATAGACATTTGTCACCCATTCTCAATGCGAAAGTGCCCAAGCAGCATTGCTCAAAAAAAGTTGCCCTGCAAAATTGCTCAAAAAGTGACCCCGTGTATCATCAGCCTAAGGGATTATACTTCTATATTACTGCTGAGAAATATTTTAAAAGCCTAAGTTCGGTTGGTCTATGGTCTCTCAGCCTGGCCAAGTTAGTTTACAGCTGGTCACAGAGCCTGACTACATAAAAAGTGACCTATTAATAACCTCACAATTTTCACAAAACAAATGCATAAGGTAAGACTGTTATGAAGTACTAATTCAATTCAAGTAAGTAATATCGTAAGTATGCACTCATTAAATGCATCGCAAAATTCCCGAAATTAATTTTGGGTCTGACCATAGACTGGGGTCTGACATATGGTAATGCAGGAAAAGTCTGCCATCTAGTGGTGTATTCGAAGCAGCGAACTCTCTTGACTCCAGGACCTGTCCATCCAGTTACACTTCCCTTATAAACATTTACCATGGTAACCATGGTTTCCAAAATACCATAGCTACTACAGTAAAACAAAACAAAAAAGAATCTTCCAACCGTGTAAGCAGCTTTCAAACTTTTGGATGAGCGGAAAGTTTTATTGTAGTAAACAATTATACCATGGCAAATTCAGAGTCCCCGAGACAAAAATTATTTTATATTTGATCCCAGAAATAGCAGTTATTTTATTATTATTTTATATGCTATTATATTTATTAATATTTTCAATTAGCTTATTTTTATATTTTCAGTTGCTTTAATTTTAGTTTTAACACATTGTGTGCATTTTTAATATTTTTTTTTTAATACATTTTAATTTAGTTTTATTTACCATCAACAATTTTTATTAGTTTTAGATTACAATAACGACACTGAACAGAATCGGGTTTAATATTATACCTGCACAATTTATTTTTCCATCACAGACCAAAAGTGTAGTTCATAAAGACACACACATATCCAGTCCGCTCAATCTTTATTGAATAAAGCAGAGATCAGAGGAAATGAACATCACTTTGTAGCTGTAAGAAGTCAGACAGTGCCCACACAGACGTGTGCAGAAAACAAAACGGCTTTACATGGCTAAAGTACAATTCTTTAAACATTAACTTGCAAAAATAGAGATGCAATTGTCAGAGGGCTAAGTGCTTAAGGAAGGGGGGGATCCACATTGGTCACCAATATTTCAAAGCCAACTCTTCGATTAGAGCTGGACTTCACTGAGTGATGCCTATAATTCCACAGGCCAGGCGACCTCCAGCATTGCCAGTTTTAAGACTTTCTTCACTGCCTCCTTTACCCAAGTCATCCTCCTTCTCATGGATCTAGAGCAGAATTTACACAGTGAGGTCTGCTGTTAAACAGCTAGTTATTGCCATTAGATATGCTGCTGATTATAAATCCACAGAGTTGTTTTCTTACCACCATGGTCCTCCCAATGATGGAGTGTTGCCCTAACAGGGTCGCAATTTTATCCTCAATGCCAATTTTTGCAACACCATTGTCATCGGCTATCATGTTACCAAGGTCTCCGACATGTCTGCGTAACACAGTACATTACTACTGTTATTATTACTATAAACACATCTGCTAGAACACGGCTGTTTGAAAATACACTGAAAAGGTACTGCGTCCAGAATGTGTTTACAGTTAGGAAGAAAAAAAACTCACAAATAGGTCTGCATGATACCAGAAAATATAGCATTGCAATATTTAGTTTTCTGCCATATATTATGAAAATACAGAATTTTTCTTGTCTAAAGATTACTTCAATAGTTATATTTGGAAGAAATTGCCCACGACCGATCTAAAGTATCCAGATAGACATTTGTCACCCATTCTCAATGTGAAAGTGCCCAAGCAGCATTGCTCAAAAAAAGTTGCCCTGCAAAATTGCTCAAAAGGTTACCCCGTGTATCATCAGCCTAAGGGATTATACTTCTATATTACTGCTGAGAAATATTTTAAAAGCCTAAGTTCGGTTGGTCTATGGTCTCTCAGCCTGGCCAAGTTAGTTTACAGCTGGTCACAGAGCCTGACTACATAAAAAGTGACCTATTAATAACCTCACAATTTTCACAAAACAAATGCATAAGGTAAGACTGTTATGAAGTACTAATTCAATTCAAGTAAGTAATATCGTAAGTATGCACTCATTAAATGCATCGCAAAATTCCCGAAATTAATTTTGGGTCTGACCATAGACTGGGGTCTGACATATGGTAATGCAGGAAAAGTCTGCCATCTAGTGGTGTATTCGAAGCAGCGAACTCTCTTGACTCCAGGACCTGTCCATCCAGTTACACTTCCCTTATAAACATTTACCATGGTAACCATGGTTTCCAAAATACCATAGCTACTACAGTAAAACAAAACAAAAAAGAATCTTCCAACCGTGTAAGCAGCTTTCAAACTTTTGGATGAGCGGAAAGTTTCATTGTAGTAAACAATTATACCACGGCAAATTCAGTCCACGAGACAAAAATTATTTTATATTTGATCCCAGAAATAGCAGTTATTTTAGTATTATTTTATATGCTATTATATTTATTAATATTTTCAATTAGCTTATTTTTATATTTTCAGTTGCTTTAATTTTAGTTTTAACACACATTGTGTGCATTTTTAATATTTTTTTAAAATACATTTTAATTTAGTTTTATTTACCATCAACAATTTTTATTAGTTTTAGATTACAATAACGACACTGAACAGAATCGGGTTTAATATTATACCTGCACAATTTATTTTTCCATCACAGACCAAAAGTGTAGTTCATAAAGACACACACATATCCAGTCCGCTCAATCTTTATTGAATAAAGCAGAGATCAGAGGAAATGAACATCACTTTGTAGCTGTAAGAAGTCAGACAGTGCCCACACAGACGTGTGCAGAAAACAAAACGGCTTTACATGGCTAAAGTACAATTCTTTAAACATTAACTTGCAAAAATAGAGATGCAATTGTCAGAGGGCTAAGTGCTTAAGGAAGGGGGGGATCCACATTGGTCACCAATATTTCAAAGCCAACTCTTCGATTAGAGCTGGACTTCACTGAGTGATGCCTATAATTCCACAGGCCAGGCGACCTCCAGCATTGCCAGTTTTAAGACTTTCTTCACTGCCTCCTTTACCCAAGTCATCCTCCTTCTCATGGATCTAGAGCAGAATTTACACAGTGAGGTCTGCTGTTAAACAGCTAGTTATTGCCATTAGATATGCTGCTGATTATAAATCCACAGAGTTGTTTTCTTACCACCATGGTCCTCCCAATGATGGAGTGTTGCCCTAACAGGGTCGCAATTTTATCCTCAATGCCAATTTTTGCAACACCATTGTCATCGGCTATCATGTTACCAAGGTCTCCGACATGTCTGCGTAACACAGTACATTACTACTGTTATTATTACTATAAACACATCTGCTAGAACACGGCTGTTTGAAAATACACTGAAAAGGTACTGCGTCCAGAATGTGTTTACAGTTAGGAAGAAAAAAAACTCACAAATAGGTCTGCATGATACCAGAAAATATAGCATTGCAATATTTAGTTTTCTGCCATATATTATGAAAATACAGAATTTTTCTTGTCTAAAGATTACTTCAATAGTTATATTTGGAAGAAATTAATTAATCATTCTAAAATGATTGGGGTGATTTATCTGCATAGAAAATTAAAATATATTTTTTTTAAAGCTGAAAAACGCAGAACACTATTTCTGAGGGTGAGCCACCCTTTAGGCCTGAATGATTTTGAAAAAAACGATCATATTTGGGACAAATTTGGGGTCAACTTTTTTTTTTTCAATAACCATAAAGTAAACAGAGCTTTAAAAAAAACAAATCTCTCTCCACTTGAATTTTACAGGCTACATTCTCACTCTGTTTGACCCATTCAGTGACTATACAAATAATTATGATTCTTATTGTAAATAATATCAAGTAAAGAATATGAATCAAAGCGAGAAATATATAGTAATAAATACTACCACACAGTAAAATATAAAAGCATGAAATGGACTCGTTTTTCTCGGATCTCACAGCTCAGGATAGTCAATAATGATGGGTTTGGGACTATGTTGCCATCAACCTTTTAGCGTTTTAACGTTGTCATTTACTGTGGCTGCAAAATGAACATCACATTTACAGATCAGGCGAATGATTCAAAAACTTCTGTGTAAATAACTGAGCAGCCGTCATTGAGATGAACAGGAAAGCTAATGAACAAATTACTCAACTTATTATAGACCTCTGTGCTCTCTGAACATTGAAATATCTTGCTGAACACAGAAGTAATAGAACCCTATTTAGGAAGTACCACTCTTTATAAATACACTTATTTGACTTGTAGGGATGTATGCAAATCAAAAAATTAGTATTTCACCAAATATAGACATTAGCATACAAGCAAAGGTGTCATGCCGTACATCTCACTGATAAACCCACCTGTCACTATCAGTTGGTCCACCGTGATTTTTACCATAAGGGTTGAAGTGTGGACCTGCACTGATGCAGCCTGTGAGGAAACAGAATGGTAAAGTCTGTTCAAAATAAAGACATATCTAAGGGTTTAAGGTAAAGTTTTCAGTCTTAATAGGATTAACCTGTACTATAAGGTCAGTGAATGGAGTAATGGTGCTTACCATTTGTGTTGTCTCCAAAAACATGGACATGGAAACCATGCTTTCCTGGAGTAAGGCCAGTGATTTCACCTGAGAGCTTCACTGAAGACATTTCATTCTAAAACAAACAGATCACTCTTTTGGTCAATGATAGTTTCTTAACACTTCAGAAAGCAGAAGCATTAACTGTTAAGCATGATGCATGGTGCAGACAACACCAAAGTCATGGGTTTGATTACCAGGGAATGCAGGAACTGATCAAACGTATACCTGCAATGCAAGCTAAATTAAAAAAATCTGTCAAATGCTTAAATGTAAATACTTGACAGGGATTCTGCAGGTTTTATGAAGGTAAATCTAAAACTTTAAGACCAAAAATATGTAAGGAATAAATTTAAGGTAACACAATATGTTCTCTAAATAAATGTAAATGTCTATGAAGCACACAATGAGCTGCATTGGCAACAATTCAAAGTTTGAAAATACAACTTCCTTCATTAATTTTTAAAACATTTTACAAAAACATAGCTTAAGGCTTGGATAGATCTGCTTGCAACTGCTAGAACATAGAAATAACTTTTACTGTATCTTCTAAATGCACTGTAATGAAATTGATGTTCTTCCTCTCTGTTTTTGTCTGATTTTTCAGTGCAAATGTCAAGATACATTTACTTGAGATGAAAAATGGCTGGAAGTCTTGCTTTCTGATGAAGTGAGTTTATGATTAATTATCAAATATCTAACAAGGAGGGCCAAAAAAAAATCTTAAAGGAAATAATTTTCATAGTCCATTGATAAACATTTGTTCTTGTTTTAATCAAACTCTTGGATTCAATTTCTCTCTTCATATCTTAATTTTGCATCTCAAGTGTATCTCAAGTATCTTGATTTAAAGACATTTAGATAAACAAAAATACTAAAAGGAAGAAAATATTTTTGGCAGTGCATGCAACATTTAATTCCATAACAATGAATAAGACTTTCTGCTCAGATTTAATTTGAGGAAGGGCGAATTAAAATACTTTTAGGACATTTTAATACCCCGAATGACACAATGCTGGACAAAATGCAGATGAAACTTCATAGTGATCCTTATCACAGCGTAAAGACAAATTACAATAAATATCATTAGATCTGTGACTATTGTTAAATCTGTAACTATAACAAACACGATAAATGGTGTTTGAAGAGCAATGCAACGCTTTTTCAACCATTACACCAGTACAGTTCTGCCAGCATTTGTGTGCTGTGATCGCTGTCCTATTTGGCAAAATTTTGACAGCAAACGGAGACAGAAGAGCACGACTCAACAACATTTTCCCTTCTAGTTTCATGAGACTTTTTAAGGCAAGTCCATGACACCACTGCCTGCCACCCAACGCTTCTGAACACTGTAAAGTCCCAATTTCAGGTGCAGACGGAGGGCAGTTTCATCATTTGCATGCATGCGTTAACAGGGTTTCTGCAGACTTGAACAAGTTCAATTTAAGACTTTTTAAGACCTTTTTAATACCACCTTATATGAAATTTAAGACCTAAACCTGTAATGGAAATACACATATGTAATATTTAATGTGTATAAATTAAAAAGAAAACAAAATATCAATGCTGTAATAAATGGTATTACTACGATATACAGTGAACTTTTCATGTCAGCAGACAATATTTCCTGGCCAGGACGCGTCCTGGGAAAATGGCACGTTTAGTCACCCTACAGTAAACACTTACTACTAGTTGGCACAAATACTTATAAATCGTAAGATAAATGTTAAAAAAGACTGAAACAACTTGCATATAGGTCAGTTCATTCATTTGATATGAAAATATTTTATTAAAACCCAATTCCTATCGCTGAAATATTTGGAGTTCCTATCTCCAAAAACGTAAAAATTATAAAAACATCTTTCTTTTTTTTTTTTTGTATGTTGTAAACATTAAGTTAGAAAACATACAGCAAAAGGGTCTTAATATAGAGATGAGGCACGTGAGCCGAACTGACCAATCAGGAGGCAGAAGAGACTGGTGGACGCTGATTGGGTCAAAGTCTGGCGTGTCACGCTGCGTGACGTGAGGGACTTTGATAGTATGGACAAATTCTGTACTTCTCTCTTTTTTTTTGTAAAGAAATTAAATGCCTTCATTGAAATTGTCTAAGAATAATAAAAAGCTTTAAAAACATGTTTCGCAATTATTTCCGTTTTTAGTGAAGAGGTAAATAATAAAAAAACATTTTTATATTTCTTTTAATTCTCAATTTTTCCTTTTGCTTGTTTCTCATTGTTACTTGTTACAGTAAGTATAATTTTTGACAATTAAAAAGGTTTCAAAGAAAGGAATAGATAGCAACTGATAAATCAAGCTACATGGTTGTCACTTGAAATACAGTCAAATGCCATCCTTTAATTCCACAGTAATGACCCATTCATATAGATATAGATGTCCTATTCAAACCATGATGAATCACAAGATAAATACCTCAATATGGTTGTATATGCCATAAGGCCCAGTAAACTAGGGTGACCATACGTGCCATTTTCCCAGGACGCGTCCTGGCCAGGATTTCTATATTGCCTAAAATATCTAGGTTTTGGCATACACCGATCGGTCTGCACACGCAAACAAAGCCAAAACCTAGATATTTTAGGCAATA